AGATATGAAATTCATAAATATAAATCGGATCATCGTTCAAAAAGAGTAAAAAAAAAAAAAAAAAAAAGCAAGGACAGGAGATAATTTGAGATTTAGGCCTACATTCGCTCCAGGTGTTGACATGCAAAGCGCTCATGATTTATGCGTGAGGTTGTTTTGTTTTCCTCGGGCCCGATATTTTCACAGAGCGACCTAATGACGGTTGATTTTAGCCTCGATTTATTGTGTATTTGACTTTGAAATGAAGGTGTTTTTTTTTTCTTTTTTTTTTTGGTGGGGGTGCCGTGTTATGTGTTTCGTGTTAGGTAATTCAGAGCAGGAATGGGTTATGATTTGACCTTGGAATAAATTTTAATCTTTTCTTTTTTTTCTCTCTTTTTCTTTTGCTGTTTAATAAGTCATAGCTGAATAATATTTTTTTGAGAATTTCCCTGACATTTAAACTGACAGAAACACGAGTTCCCTTACTTAACTATGCTAACTACCTCCTCCCCTCCCCCCACAGCGCCGCCAAGACTCGTACGGCGGCGGGTCGTCCTCGGACGAGAACAGGTCGTCCGGCCACGCCTCCATGTCCGACGGCCACACCTCCTCCTCGCCGCCCATCGACTCGCTGCCGCGCCACGACCACCTGAGGTCCAACCTGAAGGTGGTGCCCGAGGACGAGCGCCTCTCGGCGGCCGTGACCTCGGTGGCAGCGGGCTACAAGGGCGCGGGATCCGGCAGGCGAGGTCAGCCCAGACCGCGCCACAGAGCCACGCCCTCCAAGGTAAGGGAACGAGCGGATTCTTCTCCTCTACACTTCGAGAGGTCTGTTTGTCGGAATTGATTAGTACAAGAAGCAGCGGATGTCTGTCCGAGTAAGCGAGCTAAATGGCAAAGCGACGGAGCTGATAATGACACGCCTTTTATTGCAGGACGACCTGTCCCTCCCGCTGGAGAGCGCTAGCGGCCTGGAGGACATCAAGCAGGCCATAGAACAGCTGACGATGCGTTCGCAGGGCTCGAGGACCAGCTACTCCACCTCGACGTACTCCTCGATGTCGGGGTCGGAGGGCGAGCCCGTGCGCCGCCTCATGCGCCACTCGTCCCTCGAGACCATCAACACCAACGTCACCGCCGCCGACGAGTTCGTGTGGGTCGACTCGCACAACAGGTAGGCACCGGGGACGGGTGTCTTTGTACACGATAGGGATGCGGGTCTGTCTCCGCCATAGGTCTTCCTAAGAGCGGGACGAAAGTCATGGAAATTAGGCCATAAGTATTCGCGTCCTCGTATTCTTCCTCTCTCATTTTTTTCGCTCTCTTCTGCACTACTAAATCCTTCCTCCTCTCCCCTCCCCAGACTGGTGGAGCTGCAGCAGCTGCCGTGGAGCAACCACGACGTGCTGCGCGTGGTGCAGCAGGGCCGCGTGCGGGAGCAGCTGGACCGCGTGAGCATGGAGGCCGTGCCCAGACTCTCGTACCTGCTGCAGAGGGCGCTGGTGCGCGTGGCTCGGGAGGCGCAGAGGCTCACCCGCCCCCTCGCCATGTGCAGCAAACAGGAAGTATCGTCCGCCCTCAAGATCGTCCTCTCGCCCGCCCTCGCAGACTCCTGTATCAAGGTGGGTCACCACAAACGTTCGCTTTGTCATTTCAATTATGTATCATCAGTAATCGACTTTTAATAGTTTATACTTTATACTTAATATTTTATAGCGTCTCGAATACAACCACGTCATACTTTCCAGACTACGTTTCTTTATTGTTTTGCTAACCAGTAATCCTTTGTCGTTTGATCTAACCACACTCTTTTGGTGTCCCAGGCGTGCTTGCGAGCCGCGGCCATGTACACGGTGTGCGGCGACCAGCTGCGGCAGTCGAAGAGCGCGCGCGCGGGCCTCAACCTCTCGGTGGGTCGCTTCATGAGGTGGATGTGCGACGTCCGGATCGGGAAGTTCATCCATGAGTGAGTCGAGTTGCGCATATTGGGCGTGCCGTGTTACTTGCATGGTTGGATTATTGTTATAATCAAATATATCAATGAGGAACTTGCATCAGCATTACTAGGAAAATCGAGAAAAGAATAAATGACCGAATTTTATGTTAGTCTCCGCCCTCCTCCTAATATGAAGCTACCCATCCCCGCAGATACGCGGCCGTGTACCTGACCGCTGGCATGGAGAACCTCCTGGAGGAGATGGTGCTTCAGTGTCTCCCGGCGGAGGAGGACCACATGCTCACCGCCAGCGTCTTGGAGCACGCCATCGCCAACAACGGGGACCTGTGGGGCCTCCTGCAGCCCTACGCCCATCTCAACGCCGGCAGAACCGCCACGGGTACGTCCTCGGATCCGGGCTTGGGTGCTGGGGAGAGAAGGGAGGCGGGTGCATGGCATATGGGTGTTAAACGCGCCATGCTTGGGGTGTTGTTAGAGAAGGGAAATGGAATAATAATACAAGCGTAAAACATATTCATGCTCCTCATTTTTTCCTTTGCTTGCTTCTCTTGTCGCTTTTATTTTAGTTTCTTGTTTAGTTGTTGATTTTTATTAGTTTATGATGATAGTGATGATAATTGTTTTCGTTATTAGTAATTGTTATTACTATTTTATTATCATTATTATTATTATTATATATTTTCGCAACTCTCATTATTTGTTGGTTTTATTGGCGTGAGGGATGCTTAGTGTGGCTGTTAGCACTTGCATTGTTTTTCTTAGTGTTACTGACATAATTATTTGATGCAAGTTTTGCAAATTGACGTTTTCCTTTATTTTATGTTACCATTCTTGGTTGTCAGTTACAAAAGGGTTGGTAACATGTCTAGAGGATGCGCTTGACCCCCCCCCCCCTCTTCCCTCAGGCGCGCTATGCCTCCCGCGGTGGGCCAGCACAGCCAGCATCGAGGCGGCGTCCGTGAGCAGCGCGTCGACGGGCGGCAGCCGGTCCAGCGCCACCACGGGCTCCTCGGGGTCGTCGGGGGCGTCGGGATCCTCCGTCCCGCCCTCGGCAGCCAACGACGGCGCAGGCGGCGGCAGCGGGGCCTCCGGCAGCAGCAGCGGCCCGCAGCCCTCGAGGTGTTCGTCGAGCGTGACCCTGACCCCCGAGGAACACTCGAGGAGCAGCAAGGTAAAGGTAACCGTATCTCCCGTGTTGTCGAGCTCGCCTCTCCCACCTCGCCCTTGAGGGCCTTCCGGGGTTCTGTCCAGGTGTTTGCTTCGCTCCGGCGTCCTTAGGGCTTCCCTTGGCAGGGAGTCCTGGAACGCATCGCTTCTCTTCTCTGATTTCAGTGGCATGCCCACAACTTAGACCAATTTTCTAACAACTGGCATCTGTAATCTAGCAAATTTTACTGCTCTCTTTTCTATACCTTTAAATGATATGTTGCTTATAAAATGCTTCCTAAAAAATAACAGTACCAGGCTGCGCATGAATTACTCCGAGGCCAAGTAAGCATATGTGACCGTCTTTCCTGACAGACCCTGGAGCAGTCCCTCCTGACGACGTGCGTGGGCTCCCTCGCCGAGCTGAGCGAGCTGCTGGGGCGCGTGGCTCCCCACCACCACCGGGCGGCCAACTCCTCCTCCCCGACCCGCGCTCAGGTGAGTCTTCCTGCTTCCTCGTGCATTCTAAAAGCAAGATAGCTGTGCGTGGATATGATTATACTGGTTGAAAGAACGGCTTAACGCTTTGTGAAATTACAAACGGAAGCAAACACGATGGTAACCGCGCCACGCCCCCGTAGGTGACCTGGGGACCGTCCGCGCTGCACGCCCTCTTCTACTTCATGCGGTGCAGCCAGCTGGAGCACGCCGAGCACGCCTCCCGCGCCCCCATCCAGGAGCTGGTGTACGAGCGCCCTTACATCGTGCTGCCGCCCTTGCTGGAGTGGGTCCGCGTGGCCACCGCCCACACCGAGCACAGGCACTCCACCGTGGTCGACAAGGATGACGTCATGCAGGCAGCCCGCCTCCTCCTTCCCGGCGTCGACTGCCCCGTCAGGATGATCGGGTGAGTTGAGGATTCTTTTTGGATCATAATGTGTTTCTTTTCTCTGTCGACCATTTATTAGTGTAAATCCCATTGCAATGTATATACCACTCTAAATTAACTTAATCATTACTCTTAATGTTTTCCCTCTCAGATACGAAGAACTGATGTGCCCGCGCCGCCAGCTGGACGAGATGGAATGCGCCAAGAAGTTCAAGGTGGACCTGGCCTTCAAGATGCTCTCGTGCGGCCGCTATGACCTGGTGCCGCACGCCCTCCAGCTGCTCCCAGCCACTAAGGTAATGCGGCGGTGTGGTTTGCAACTGCAGCATCATTGCATCTATCAAATTCAGTCACATTTGATATTGATTTGTTTGATGATTGGTTATTTTTTTGTTCATCGTTAATTTTCTTGTTCGATGTTTAAATTTCATGCATTTAATAACAGTTCAGTTACTATTGGGTAACCAGGCTCTATGTAAGCCATATTACCTGAAATGACCGCCGCCCTTTCCCTCGGCAGGTGAACACGGTGAACGAGTACGGGCTGACCCCGCTCATGCTGGCCTGCATTCGCGGCGACGAGCCCATGGTCAACATGCTCCTGGACGCCGGCGCTGACGTGGACGCCGAGACGCCCCCGACGGGCCCCGCCTACCTCATGGCCAACCCAGAGACACAGCACTGGACGGCCCTCACCTACGCTGCGATACATGGCCACATCAACCTGGCCAAGACGCTGCTCGAGAAGAACGCCAATGTCGAGGGAGGCGCGAGGCTGGCCGAGGAGAAGTGCACGGAAACGCCGCTGCAGGTTCGTCACGGGGGCTTGCTTGTCTCGTCCTGTCTGGAGGAGGAGGTCTTGTTCTGACGAAAAAGCTTTTAAAGTTTGTCATCAGTTTTGGAAAAGGAAACCGTGTCAGGCGGTTATACAGGGAGATGCTTCTGTATTCACAGTTATATATAAAGACAGAACTCTATTTAGTCTTATCTTTCGTATTAGTTTTTTTTACACTGTCTCTAAAAGGGGAAAGCCAAATAATCGTCTCTCCTATGAACAGGTTGCAGCAGCCGCAGGGAACACCGAGATGATGGCGCTCCTGCTGTCCTACGGCGCCAACCCCTACCTGTCGACGCTCATGAAGGACTCCCTGTGCTACTCCGGCGCCGCGCAACGAGGGTGCTATGCTGCCATCGCCGTCGCTGCGGCTCACGGCCAGAGGACGATTCTTCATAAGCTTCTGTCGCAGCCTCAGGTACGTTTATAATCGACTGTAGGAATGCTGAAGGAAAACTGATATTGTAGTGTGAATTTTGGCGTATTTCTCCAGTCGGAGGGTTCTGTCATTTGTTTTACCTTTTATAGATAATTATGCATTTAGCAACATTTTTAGCGACATTGTAATTCAGTTGATAAGAGAAGTCATAACACAACCCCTCGCCGTTTCCAGCACGCCTCAGCGCGGGAAGTCCTGTCCCTGGAGGAGATCTTGGCTGAGGGCGCCAACGGGAACACCTCGGACCGAGACCGCCGACCTGGCCGTCAGATGTGCATCGTAGACGATCCCTTCGGGAGAGGCAGCCTCGCCTCCTCGGCCTCGGACTCCTCGCAGGTCCTCAAGCTCACCAAGCAGCAGATTAAAACCTTGCAGGAAGCCATGTACCATTCGGCGGAGTCCGGGCATCTCGGTAAGCGGCATTTCTCAGGTTGCCTGCTTTGAATTCATTTTGATTTTCTAAATATTTTCGCTGACCTTTTTCAAAGAAGTGGTGAGAGATTATATGGCATTGTTCTTATCTTCTCTCTGCAGAAATGACGCTGGACTTGCGAAATCTGGGCGTGCCGTGGACGCTCCACTGCTGGATGCACACGCTGGCCACCGCCCACGAACACCGCCTCGAGTCCATCATTGATCAGCTGTTGCAAGACTTCCTGCAAGTCTGGCCGGACGACTACTCGGCCCAGTTCGTGGACGAGTGCTTGCCACTCCTCTTCACCATCTTCAGATATAGCAAGGTAACAACAATACACATAACAGTTTCATTTCAGGTTTGGTGTTATATTCGAATTTCTATACTAGCCCCAATAAAACATGAAATCAAATTGCATAGGCTTAATATAACACTGTAAATGAAGATTCAGCCTTAAATAAAAGTTGTAAGTAATACTGACCCTGACCTCCCCCCCCCCCTTGCAGAACGAAGGGACGTCTCTCCTGCTGGCGGACATCTTCTCCTCCTGCTACGGCAAGGAGGCCATCAAGGAGATCCGCGACACGACCATCTCGGGCGGCGCTCGCATCGACCCCAAGTTCGTGAACAACCCCGAGCTGTCCGACGTCCAGTTCCGCGTGGAGGGGCGGGTGTTCTACGCTCACAAGATCATCCTGGTGAACGCGTCGTCGAGGTTCAAGCAGATGCTGAGCTCCAAGTTCTGCGAAGGCAACCCTCCCATCGTGCAGATTCATGACATTAGATATGACATTTTTGAGGTAAAGATTTTGCCTTTAGTAAGAGTCATAGGAAATATCTTCAATTAGAGCATATTAATGAGCTTTTAATCATTAAGAAAAATAGCAGTAGGGAGAAATATCTCAAGTTAGAACACATTGCATGAAACCATTAAGAAAACTAGTGATTGGTCATCCTAATGTCCTTTGTTCCCTCTCACGACAGCTGGTGATGCAGAGTCTCTACAAAGGAGGGTGCGAGAACCTAGAAGTGGAGGCCGGGGACGTGCTGGAACTCATGGCCGCAGCGAACTTCTTCCAGCTGGACTCCCTTCTGCGATACTGCGAGTCACGCTGCTCAAAGCTGGTTCATTTGGATAATGTTGTGTCCATGTACATTCATGCTAAGGTAAAATTAGCCGGTTAATTCTGATTTAAAAGTAACTGAAAGAGGATTGGCGGTGGGATGGTTAGATATTTTTTTAGAATATTTTTGTAGTTCAAGGCAGTATTTGGGCCCAAAGGTATATTCAGTTTTTTTTTCTGATAATGTTTTTGAAGATCTTACTCACTATTTTTACCAATGTAAATTACATCATAATTAAAATTTATAAATTCTGCTGGAATTACAAAGATAAAATTCATACCAAACATCCTTATATAAACAGGCAAATGACATACCTAAACTCCCACAGGTTTATAACGCCGTCCAGTTGCTGGAGTACTGCCAGGGCTTCCTGCTGCAGAATATGGTCGCCTTGCTCACCTTCGACGACTCGGTGCGACGCCTAATCTTTGGCAAGAAGCTGCACAACCACGACGTTCTAGCAGGTCTTCTGATCACCCTGCAGGCGCGCATCAAGGCCCGCTCGTCCCCAAGGGCAGGCAAGAAGTGAGAGGAGTGACGTTATGGAAATGGAGTCCTCGAAAAAAATCAATTGCTCATTGTCTCCTGCGTGAGGGCCATTCAGTCTGCAAGTTGCGGGTTACAATGGCTCCTTTAGTAGGACGAAAGCAGGCAAAAAGTGATGGTATAGATTGAAGTTATATCATCATGTTCTGAAGGCAAATAATCATAA